TTACATCGCTGAAAATAGGTTTGGACTGTAACAGTGTCTGGAGTATTACAGACATTCAATATATTTATCTTATTTAGGGATCTCGAAACACTTCATAGTTATGGAGGTGTATCTCTGCTCCAATTTCCTTATTCATTAACTGAGACATAAACTCCTAGAGACTGTAAAGCCCACAAGGGAACCCATGCCTCTGGATTTGTAGTCCCAGGCTCTTCCTCTCCTGCAGAGGGCTGTCTTCAGTGGCATTATCCTGTTTCAGGGGGAGAGAACATATTTAATGGCTTCATCAAAAATTTGGCTTTACAGCTAAGCATCATAATCTACTTTGATGCCTCCTCTGTGCCCTGGGCTCATGTTCTTTTATCTGACTTGAACACTTGTCTCACCTTTCTTTGGCTGGCTAAGGATGCTTATTCATCTTCAGGACTCACCTTCACCATCACCTCAAGGAAACTGTCCTGACAGCCTAGGCTGGGCTGAGTGCCCTTCTTCAAGTGCCCAATCACACCTGGGCACACCTCTGGCATAGCACTCGGATTCAGAATAGCCATGTCTTAGGTGCCCAGGTTCTTTTTTTTTTTTTTTTTAGATTTTATTCATTTATTTAGTCATGAGAGACAGAGAGAGAGAGAGAGAGAGGCAGAGACACAGGCAGAGAGAGAAGCAGGCTCCATGCAGGAAGCCTGACGTGGGACTCGATCACGGGTCTCCAGGATCACGCCCTGGGCCAAAGGCAGACGCTCAACCGCTGAGCCACCCAGGCATCCCAGGTGCTCAAGTTCTAAGCCTGCCACCCACATCCCACTTTGCCTCTATCACTTTCCAGGCCATATCTTCCTCAATGTATATACCCCAAACATATTCCCCCTACTAATCCATATAACTCCCCAGCTGTAGTCACCCCAGCCTGAATCCCTCCCTGTCTGAATACACCCTAGCTTGCATCTTTCCCCGCCAGACTGTATCTTCCTGCATATATCCCTCCAGCCTATATACCCCTGTGAAAAGAAAAACTCTAAGATAGTACCAAAGATTCTTGGCCCCCTGATATGCAAACACCTTCTCCCAGATATTCAATCAAACCCTAATTTGAGTGCTTCTGTAAAGTGATTTTGCAAATGTAATTAAGACACCCAAATCTGTTTACTTTAAAATCAGGTAGGCCCCATCTAATCACATGAGTCCTTTAAATCTGGGTCAAAAAGTTAAGTCCGGAAGTCAGCAATGTAAAGCATGACTGGGCAGATGGAGGGGGCCATGTGGCAAGTAACTAGGGTGCTCTCTAGTTGCTGAGAGTGCCCCCTGCCAACAGCTAGCAAGAAAAGGGGGGGTCTCAGTTCTACAACCACAAAGAACTGTATTCTCCCAACAATTATGGAAGCCAAAAGAGAAGACGAGCCTCCAGAAAAGGTCTCGGCCCAGCTGACATCTTGATTTTAGCCTTCTGATAGCCTGAGTGGAGAACACAGCCACTCTGAGCCTGGACTTCTGACCTACAGAACTGGGAACTAATGAACAGGTATTGTATTAAACCACTAAATTTGTGATAATATGTTACACAGCACTAGAAAACTAACACAACCTCACCCAGCCTGTGCCCTCCCAATGCATATCCATCAGTCTATCTTCCCCTCAACACGGAATTTCCCTAGCTGGAGCTGTTCTGCAACCTTAGCCAATCACCTCCACCAGTGGGGACCTCTGACCTGCATTCCTCCCGCTTATAACTCATTCCCCAGCATGAATGCCCTCCACAAACACACAGCCTGTCACATACAACCCTCTATCAATCCAGTCACACACACACACTCACAAGTGCGCATGCACACCAGTAACACCATCACTTTGTGCACTAGTCAAATTCAGTCTGCATTACTAGATGGGAACTTTGTCTCCTGTCCAAGACCAGTGAGCAGGACTGGGCATCCCCAAAGGAAAATGGCAGTCCCCCCTCCTTTGCCCCCTTGAGCCTTAAGCCAATCATGAACAACCCATCCATCCTACTTCGTAGGCCCTGAGTGCTGCACTAGCTTCTCCAGTGTTCTAGAATCAGGGGGCTGCTCCAAGTGGCCAAAGACACTCCATTGCCAAAGGAAATGAACTCGGCCTACAATCCACTGGCCAAAATCCTCTCAACTCTGCCCTCTGTAAGGATCCAAAAATCTCTTTCCACCAGGAGCATTGCGGACATTCCCCCATGCTCCCCCTTTTCCCACCTCTATTCCAGGGCCAAGCATTGTTTTCTCTCCTTCTGGGCTTTTTTCAACCCACACTGTCCTACAACTTACATTTGCAAGATGATGCTTTTCTCTGTCAGGTATTCCTCCATAGTATATCTTTGTACCCAACCAGAACAACTTAGGTAGTTGGGATGAATGGCCTAAGTAGCCAACACTTAACTTCAAAAAAGCAAACATTAGGTTAAATAGCTAGAATATCTGCATAAAAGGATAAATAACTTTATATGTAACAACCCTATGAGATACAGTTATCGCCCTTATTTCACGAATGAGGAAACAGAAGTTCAGAGAAGTAAGTTGTCAAAGGGCACACAGCAAGCAAGCAGCAGAGCTGGGATACCAGCTCAGGTACTCTGGTTCCAGAGACCATCCTCTCGTCCAGTCTGCTGAGCACTTGGGAGGTTTCAGGATCACTGCACTAAGTAGAGTTTTATGTGATTTATGTGACAAAGGAGAAAGAAAGAAAGCAGAGAGAACTGTGTGCTAATGTGATGCGGAAATTTTCCACAAAGTGGGACTTGAGCTAGGACAACAGGAACATAAGGACTCAGGGTTACAAGAGTGGGGCATTCAGTTTGGGGGAATGGAATGAACCGCATAGGAGTGAGAGTGTGCATGTTCTGACACCATAACTTGTAGGGGAGAGTCATGGGAAATAAGGCAATCAGTGGAGACCAGATTGTGACTGCTGTGAATGCTGAGCCAAGGAAGTTGGCCTTACTTTCAAGGTAAGAGAGAAGCATTCTGAGCAAGTGGTTGGAGAAAGGGAAAGAGCAGCTGAATATGGTAACTGCCTGGTCTTGGGAGATAAAAAGAAGAATTAAAAAAAATTATTCCCAGTTTTAGTGCTTAGGTATCCAAAATTATTTGAGTTTTCGTAATAGAAATTGACTAAATTATGTTTGGAACTGAAATTTGCCTCCTTAAATAGTGACATATAGGTCTTTCAATTCTGCTGGAATGGAAATTGCATTTGCCCTCTCCATAAAGTGATCTGGGAAAATTTTGTATGGGGCTAAACAAATGTGAAGAGTTAAAAGGATCATCAGAATTCATTCCCTATAGAAAATTTCAAAAAGTTCAGCTATGCTTTGGGCATTTTGGCAATGAGGCAGTTACCTTCAGAGTACCCCCTAAATAGGACAACTGAGGAATTCAATTTGGGGTTTCTTTCTTGCTCTATATGTATTTGAGGAGCTGAGAAGTGGGTTTCTGTTGACAATGAGATCAATGCAGGTCTAATTTGCCGGTCAATAGTTATAGACTTTAAGTTATCACTGTATACTTCCTAGCTTTTTTTTTAGTTACTTCAGTGCTTTTAGGAGTTTAGTGACTATGAATATGCCACCTAAAATACATACTTTTAATTTTTTCAGCCACTGAGGGAATTAGCAATAAAGAAGACCATAAAGTGCATAGGAAAAATAATTCATGCTGGTACTGGAACACGCTGCAAATACTCAAGAAACCAGGAGAGGTGACTGGTGCCCTCCAACACCACCTGCCATAGTAGAGTGAGCTGAGAGAGAAAGAGAGCAGTGGAAATCTGAAACCTCCTGTGCTATTCCCAATCGTACCCCCACCCCCCCAATCCCCACAGTGGTCCACACCTGCATGGTAAAACCAGTGCAGTTTACTTCCTAGTCTTGCCATCTGCCAGCTGCATTCCATTTGGGCAAGTTACCTTACCTCTCTGTGCCATATATACTCTAATCTCCGCCACCCTGCCTAGAAGAAGTTAAAATGATATATTACATTAAATACCATTTACCAAGTAGCTACTGCAGCATTCAAAACATTGAAGAGGGAATGCCTGGGTGGCTTAGCGGTTGAGCATCTGCCTTCAGCCTGGGGTGTGATCCTGGAGTCCCGGGATCAAGTCCCACATCAGGCTCCCTGCATGGAGCCTGCTTCTCCCTCTGCCTATGTCTCTGCCTCTCTCTCTGTGTCTCTCATGAGTAAATAAATAAAATCTTTAAAGCAAAACAAAAAACATTAAAGAGGCACATAACCATTAGTTCCCTTTCCCTTCTCCTCAGTGGGCCGCAGGAAACAGTGGAGGTAATAGATATTCCAACGGGAATCTGCAGGACAGGGGAATCCCGTGAGGTCAAGTCCTAGAAAAGAGGCTGGGGCTGGGCGCCAGTGCACTTGAAGATGCACTTCCACAGCTGGACTGTAGCTTGTTGGGCTAGACCTGTGGGATGGATATTCGCGGAGAGGTAAATGGAGTCAGAAGTGAGGGCCTAAGAATGGCACCAAAGAGATCAGATGGAGAAGAAAGGGAATTTAAATGGGAAGCATGCAAATTGGAGGGATTGGGAATGGGGAGAGATTGAGGAATAGACTTAAGTTTACAAAGGGCTGAAGGTGAGTGCTTTCAATAATTAAAAAAATTAAATTTAACTTTAAAAAAACTGAGCCAAGTCAGGAAACCTTTGTCCTCAGACCAAGATTCAGGGACAGTCTCCCCTGACAAAACTAGTGACAAAAGGACAGGGGTTTGGTGACAAAACAAAAACCCAATTATCAAAACTGGGATAGAAAATGGGAGCAAGGTTGGAACTGGGCGACAAGATCAAATCCGGAGGAACAGCTGAGCCCCGGTGCTGAGTCACTGTGACCTGGTGCTGAGTCAGCAGAATACTGACCCTCTGATTGGCCCCAGGGCAGGGTGCAGACGGAAGTCCTGAGCCCTTGCTGTGAGCCCAGCAGGAATCTAACCTTGGCTTTAAAAGGGCAAAGATCTGATGGAATCTTGCAGTCAGGGGCTCTCCAGGCAGTAGCAGAAGCCAAATTCTTTGCAGTTTTTGCCTCATACTCCCCTCCTGGAGCCTATTAATATCAGTGTCCCTGCCCAACTTCAGACTGAAGGAATGAGCATCTCTGTGGGTAAGGACAAAGCATCGAATTCTGGCCAATTTGAGGCAGACTGAAATTGAAAACCCAGAGTTTTAGATTCCAAGCTTTATAAAGACCTTCTTCCTCATCTTGGTTCTGAATTTATATTCTTGTCTCTCCCCTCACTCTCTCTGAAAGTAACTAGTCTCTAATAACAATATGGGGCTCAGAATGAGGTGGGTTCACATAGTTTCTTTTTTGCTGTGATAATATATATATAAAATAAAATATGCCATTTTAATCATTTTAAGTATAAAAACCAATGGTGTTAATTGTGCAACCATTACCACTGGTTTTTTTTTTTCTTTTTTATCACTCCTAACAGAAACTCTATAAGCATTGTAAGCAATAACTCCTTGTTCTCCCTCCCCCCAGTCCCAGGTAACCTCTAAGGTACTTTCTGCCTCTATGAATTTGCCTATTCTAGATACTTTATGCAAGTGGAATCATACAGTATCTGTCCTTTTGTAACTGGCTTCCTTCACTTAGTATGTTTTCAAGGTTCATCCATGTTGCAGCATGTACCAATTTAATTTCTTTTTATGGCTAAAATCAATTTCCATTGTATGTATATATCACATTTTGTTTAACCACTCATCTCATTTAAAAAAAAAATATTTTAGAGAGAGTGAATGAATGGGGAGGAGCTGAGGGTGAGGGAGAAGCAGGCAATCCCACTGAGTCCAACATGGGCTCAATCTGGGACTGTAGTGTTGGGGCCAGGTAGGAAGAGAAACTCCTCAAGATGGCGGATACCCCAAATGGCTGAGGTTCCTGTCACCACCTCCACCTGGGACGCCAATGGACCAATGACCTGCTGACAGCTTGACGCAGACCCTTAGACCTCTCCTTTGGACTTACCCAACCGGACCCAATGCCCTTCAAACCCCAGAGGAGGAAGTCACCTTTGACTGACCGAACTGCAATCCTTCCTTTGCATAGTGAGGGTCACTCTGACTGGTTGGATTGCAATCCTTCCTTTGCATATGAGCCGACCAATAGGAAACCGTTCTGCCTTACAACGTTATGTAAACCCCCTGCCACCTTGTCTTGGCGCGACTTCCCCGACTCACTCTTCCCCTCCGTGAGTCGTGGAACCTCGCCCGAGGGTGCCTGCAATAAAATCTGTTCTTGGACCCTCGCTTGCCTTGGCGGTCTCATTTCCATTTAGTTACCAAAAAACCTAACATGTAGGATCATGACTTGAGCTGAAGGCAAATGCTTAACCACTTAACGGACTGAACCACCCAGGCATCCCTACCCATTCATCTCTTGATAGACACATGGGTAATTTCCACCTTTTGGCTATAGGGAATAATGCTGTAATAAACAGTAACATGTAAGTATTCGTGTAAATCACTTTTCACTTCTTTTGAGTATATACCTACAAGTGGAATTTCTGGGTCTGTGTTTACCTTTTCAAGGAACTGCCGAAATGTTTTTCACAGAGGATGCAACATTTTATATTCCCACTAACAATACATGATGATCCTCAACAATACTTTTTATTTTCCAGTTTTTTAAATTATAACCATTGTAGTAAGCATGGAGTAGCATCTCACTGTAGTTTTGACCTGCATTTCCTTAATGATTGATGCTGTTGACAATTTTTCACGTGCTTACTGACCATTTGTGAACTTTCTTTGGAGTAATGCCTATTCAATCCTTTGCCCAATATTATTTTTTTAAGATTTTATTTATTTATTTGAGAGAAAGAAAGTGAGAGAAAAGGAGCATGAGAGGGGGGAGGGTTAAAGGGAGAAGCAGACTCCCCGCTGAGCAGGAAGCCTGATGCAGGGCTCCATTCAGGGATCCAGGATCATGACCTGAGCAGAAGCCAGATGCTTTACCACTTAATTGTTGACCCACCCAGGTGCTCCCAATTTTATTTTTTAAGTAATCTCTACACCCAACATGGGGCTTGAACTCACAACCCTGAAATCAAGAGTCACACACCCCACTGACTGAGCCAGCCAGAGGCCATCCTTTGTCCAATTTTATATTAGGTTGTCCATTTTATTAAGTTTTAGGAGTTCCGTGTATTTTCTAGATATTAAACTCCCATTAGGTGATTTGCAAATATTTTCTCTCATTCTTTAGGTTATCTTTTCATTTTCTTGATAATGTCTTTTGATGCATGAAAGTTTTTAATTTTGATGAAATCCAATTTATCTGATTTGTTGTTGTTGTTGCTTGTGCTTTTGGTCTTATATTAAGAATCCATTGCCAAATCCAAGGTCATGAAGATTCACCTCTGTGTATTCTTCTAACATTTTTATGGGTTTTTGCCTTAATATTTAGTTTGTTGACCTATAGTGAGTTACTTTTTGTATATGGTGTGAAGTATGATGGTCAAACCTCATTCTTCCACATGTAGAAATCCACTTGTCCCAGAACCATTTGCAGAAGAATCTATTCTTTCCCCATTGAATAGAATTGGCGCTTTTGTCATAAATCTATTGGCAGGCACAACTGTGTGGCTCAGTCAGTTGAGCTTTTAGACTTGAAATTTTGCCTCAGGTCATGATCTCAGGGTCATGAGATCAAGCCCCATGTTAGGCTCTGTACTTAGTAGAGTCTGCTTATGATTCTATCTCACTCTGTCCCTCCCCTTCCTCTCTCTCTCTCTCTCTTTCTCAAATAAATAACTAAATAATGAAAATCTGAGGGGATCCCTGGGTGGCTCAGCGGTTTAGCGTCTGCCTTTGGCCCAGGGCGCGATCCTGGAGTACCGGGATCGAGTTCTGCGTTGGGCTCCCGGCATGGAGCCTGCCTCTCCCTCTGCCTGTGACTCTGCCTCTCTCTCTCTCTCTCTCTGTCTATTATAAATAAATACATAAATCTTTAAAAAAAAATTAAAATCTGACAATTACTTTAAAAAATCAATTGGCATATTACATTTATGGGTACAGAGTTTCAATTTGTGACATCAAAAGAGTTCTGAAGATGGATGGTGGTGGTGGTTGCACAATGTGAATGACTTAATGTCACTGAACTAACTGTACACTTAAAAATAGTTAAGATGACACATTTCACTACAATTTTAAAAAATCAATTGGCCATACATAAATGGGTTTTATTTCCAAGCAATCATTTCTATCTCATTGGTCTATATATCTGTCCTTTAAATATATATATATATATATATATATTTTTTTAAAAAGGTTTTATTTATTTATTCATGAGAGACACAGAGAGAGAGAGAAAGAGAGAGGCAGAGACACAGGCAGAGGGAGAAGCAGGCTCCATGCAGGGAGCCCGAAGCTGGACTCAATCCGGGTCTCCAGGATCAGACCCTGGGCTGAAGGCAGAGTTAAACCGCTGAGCCTCCTGGGCTGCCCTAAAAAAATATATTTTATTTATTTATTCATGAGAGACCCAGAGAGAGGCAGAGACATAGGCAGAGGTAGAAACAAGCTCTCTGTGGGGAGCCCAATGCAGGACTCCATTCCAGGATCCCCAGATCATGCCCTGAGCCAAAAGGCAGACACTCAACCACTAGGACACGCAGGTGCCCCTATATATCTATCCTTATGCAATTATAACACTATTTTGATTATTATAGCTTTGTAATAAGTTTTGAAATCAGGAATACTCCAACCTTGTTCTTTTTCAGATTTGTTTTGGCTATTCAGGGCCTCTTGCAATTCCATATGGATATGGGGACTATTTTTTCCATTTCTGCAAACAAACAAACAAACAAACAAAAAAGCACTGTTGAAATTTTGATGAGATTGTGTTGAATCTGTAGTTAGCTTTGGGTAGTATTGCCATATTAATATTAAGTCTTTCACTACATGAATACAGAATGTCTTTGCATTTATTTAGGTGCTCTTTCTGTCAGCAATGTTATTTGTAGTTTTCTGTTCATGGAAGTGCTTATATTAGAACATTTTTCCCCCTTTCTTCAATATGACACACTTTAGGTCAGATAAGAAAAAGAATGCAATGTACAAGAAGGCAATTAGTATTTCATTCATTTTGTTGATACCCATCCATGAGAAGAAAAGACTTATAGATGACATAGAATCAAACCAGCATTTGTTGAAGATGCTTTTTGTTCTGAGTTCTAGCCCAGGTGCTGGAGGGCCCCTGATTTCCATTGACCTTAAAACAGTATAACTAGCAGATAGAAATCTAAACTGTGATGGTATAATGAGAAACTTTTGTGCAGAAAGGCTAAGGGCACACAAACAAAGCAAAACACAATAGTGGTTGGGTTGGTAAAAACGTGAAATAGGAGGTTTTGATGGTATAACTATAGAGTTGGATTTTGCCAGTCAGAAAGGGGAAGAGGGAGAAGGACAGGTGTGTGTTTGGGATGGAGGGGGGAGAGTGAAGATAAGGTAGAAGTGCCTTTATCAACTCTGGTTAGTTAACCAGTTCATTCATTTGGACAATTGTACAAAAAAATTTAAGGCACATATCTGTCGATATACTTTTGAAAAATAGGATAGATTTAAAAAGTAATATTCATGGGACAATGAGAGAAATAGAATAAAGGCTATGGAGTGGATAATAGTACATTTTATCAATGTTAATTTCCTGATTTTGATACATGCCCTATGGTTATAAAGGAGAATGTCCTTAGGAAACACTCACTGAAGTATTTAAGGGAAAGGGAGCATCATGAGTGCAACCTACTTTCAAATGGTTCAGAAAAAATTGTATGTATGTATACACACAGAGAGAGAATCATAAAGAAAACTATAATGTTAAAATGCTAATAATTGGAGAATCTGAGCAAAGAAAAGTTTTTGTACTATTGCAACTTCCTTACAAGTATGGAATTCAAAAAAAAAAAAAAAGTAATGTTGTTGCTTCTCTACAGTACAAACTGGCTCCTGAAAAAAATATGTTTACATCCAGAAAAATATCTGAAAGAACACCCTACTACTTAACCAGTACCTACTTCTTCCAAGGAATAGACTGGGTGAAGGAAAGGATTTAAATTTTCTTTGTGCATTTCTGCATTGTTTGAATATTTTATTTAAAGCACATATTAATTTTGTAATTAAAAATAAAAATATGGGGCAGCCTGGGTGGCTCAGCGGTTTAGCGCCGCCTTCAGCCCAGGGCATGATCCTGGAAACCCAGGATCGAGTCCCACATCAGGTTCCCTGCATGGACCCTGCTTCTCCCTCTGCCTGTGTCTCTGCCCCTCTCTTTCTCTGTTTCTCATGAATTAATAAATAAAATCTTAAAAAAAAATAAAGTAAAAATGAAAATACAAAAGACATTAAAAAGAAAAAACCTGGGGGTGATAATTAACAATAGAACAGTACCTCTTTATTGTATAATAATAGAGAAGAAATGGGGGATCCCTGGGTGGCGCAGCGGTTTGGCACCTGCCTTTGGCCCAGGGCATGATCCTAGAGACCCGGGATCGAATCCCACGTCGGGCTCCCGGTACGTGGAGCCTGCTTCTCCCTCTGCCTCTCTCTCTCTCTCTCTCTCTCTGTGTGACTATCATAAATAAATAAAAATTAAAAATAAAAATAATAATAGAGAAGAAATGGTAAGAAAAGACATTTTTTAAATAAAGAAAAATACATATTTTACATATGTACATAACAATCAACAAACATGTCAACATATAAACAATTGTTGACACTTAATGAGAATGACTTTTTTGTGAGTCTTTGAGAAGCTTTTTCTTTTTTTCCTTCCAGGAACTGAGAACTTGAAAATCTCACCACATTGTTCTCCCAGTCCAGTGCTGCAATGGTAAGGAAAATCACAGAAACTCTTTTAATAATTTAAGAAAAAAGCTCCCATCTTCACGTTAATTACTGCCTACATTTTGCTGAAGATAAGGTTGTTTTTGTTCAGAATGACTTCTGTAGGCTGACACACACAAAAAATTACAGTTTGTTGTAGTTTCCCAAGCCTACCCGCATGATCAAACTAAATTAAGCACTTATTAAATTCATGCACTTAAAAAAAGAGAAAAAAAGAAGTTCCATTTACTATGTGTGTGGATGAAAAAGGAAATATAAAAATGACATCAATCAACCAATTTCCTGCCCCAAGTCTCAGAATAGAAGATCACCAAGTCATGCTTTCCCCAGGGTTATACATGGCTTAAAATCGAAGTGGTATGGATGAAGCATCCTAAAAACCAAGTCATGGATTTGCCCCATCTTTCCAGTCTGGGAGAGGGCCAGAGGAGTTGGGTAAAATTTTAGGACCTCAGGCAGCCCGGGTGGCTCTCTCTCTCTCTCTCTCTCTCTCTCCTGTGTCTCTGCCTCTCTCTCTCATGAATAAATAAATAAAATCTTTAAAAAAAATTTTTTTTAAACCTTTAAAAAAATTTAAAAAATAGGCTCAGCATATAAACTCTGGACACACATATGACTTGGGTTTCTTTTTCTTCCTTAATACAAGAAGAAAAAAACCTATAGAATAAAATCCCCAATCACAGGATGAAATCTACTTCCCTTTATAAAAAGTGTATCTCAAATTTTAATGCTCACCAATATACCTCTTAAGATATACACTATACAGTTTGGCATGCATCTGTTTATTCAAAAATTATTTATTCTGTATTAGAATGATGTTGAATAAAACATATTCTTTGCCTTTAAGAACAGTAAGCTTAATAAACATTCTTTAAAATTTTAAAACAGAAAACAATAAATCACCTATATATTTATATATATATATATGTATATATATATGATATTACCTTAACAATTAGATAATACATTCTTTGAGGCAAGTTTGCTCAATAGAAAACAAAAAATAATAGAAATTACTCTCAAAGAATTGTTTTGGTGACAATAAAGTCAACTTACATCAAATTAATTGTATTATTTATCTAACCATTTATATTTTGTTCTCTCCTGAGATCACTTTATTTTAACAGCATTTAATTTGCATTAAGATATATTCTGGGGACACCTGGGTGGCTCAGTGGTTGAGTGTCTGCCTTTAGCCCAGGGTGTGATCCTGGAGTCCGGGGATCAAGTCCCATATCGGGCTCCCTGCATGGAGCCTGCTTCTCTCTCTGCCGATGTCTCTGTTTCCCTCTTTCTCTGTGTCTCATGAATAAATAAATAAAATATTTTTTTAAAAAAGATATATTCTGAACCAGGGGATCCCTGGGTGGCTCAGCAGTTTAGCGCCTGTCTTAGGCCCAGGGCATGATCCGGGAGTCCTGGGATTGAGTCCCACGTGGGGCTCCCTGCAGGAAGCTTCTCCCTCTGCCTGTGTCTCTGCCTCTCTCTCTGTGTGTGTCTCTCATGAAAAAATAAATAAAATTTTTAAAAAAAGATGGTTTTTGAACCAGAATAAACACTGGGAAAAGAATGTCTTCATTGAAATATCGCAAAGCAATAGGAACAAGTTCTGAGAAATTACAGCAAAAGGAAGCCCATGTGTTTATTTTCCTCTAGTTAGATCTTGACTGAAATCTAGAAGTAACATTTTTAAGAATCATAACTATATGAGATGAACAACTAAATTTTTTTAAAAGCTGGATTTCTGTATTCTTTCTTGCCAAAAATATATCTCAGGTAGATCAGAAATTTAAATATATGACATAAATATATGACACCAGGGCAGCCCGGGTGGCTCAGCGGTTGAGCGCCTGCCTTCAATCCAGGGCCTCATCCTGGAGACCCGGGATCGAGTCCCACGTCGGGCTCCCTGCATGGGGCCTGCTTCTCCCTCTGCCTGTGTCTCTGTCTCTCTCTCTCTCTGTGTCTCTCATGAATAAATAAATAAAATCTTAAAAAAAAAACCATAAATATATGACACCATAAATGTACCAGAAAAAAAAGGTAAAATTTTTTGTAGTCTTGCATCTTAGAAGTGTTTTCTAAATATGACAGCTATTTCAGAAGCCATAAATAAATGATAAAATATTTCCTATAAAAAATTTAAATTCTAAAGGGTAAACATTATTCTAATAGAGTTGAAAGAAGAACGAGGAAGAATATTCCCAACAAATATGACATAAAAGACTTATTTAATAAACGAAGAACTGTTATAAAAATAAAAGCAGATGAAATCAAGGAGGGACTGGAAGACGGGGAGCCTATTTCCATTGCTTGCCCTCTAGTCTTTGATAAGGACAACTTTTTCTACAACCTTAGGTAAAGCAGTGTGCAATCACTATTTCAAAGCAAGGCCCTTAGCTTTATTTAATCTTTCCAACAAAGTTGCTTATCTTAAGCTTTTCCTATACAGGAATTCCAGTGTTGCCACTAATAAAAAGGCAATCAACTCTATGGAATAATGGACAAAGAATATAAGCAATCTAAAATAACCCCATGTAAAGGTATTTAGCCCCACTTATAGTTACAGAAAGTTACACTAAAATAATAACGCAATAACTTTTCCAGCTATCAAATGAGCAAAGAACAGAATGAATGACGATACCCTGTGCTTGAGGAAGTGAAGAAATGAGTCCTCTAATTTACTGTTGGGGGGAATGTAAATCAAGTACAAATTTGGGAGCTGCATTATAGGTAAAGAATATACATATATTTATATTCTTTGACCTAGCAGTTCCACTTCTAAGAATTGATCCTCTAGATACATTTGCCCAAGTACCAAAGATTATATGTATTTTTTTCAAGGATGTTCACTGTAGCTTTGGATAATAGTAGAAAACTAAAAATAACCTAGGTTTACCAAAAGGACTCTGTTAAAAAAAAAATCCATGGAACATTGTTAAAACTATAGCTACTAAAGAGAGGCGAGAGTATATATACAGACTTAGACATCCAAAGTATTTTAAGTGAAAAAATACTTTTAGGAACAATGATCACATTTGTGTAAAACACTGTGTGTGTGGTGGGGGGAGAAGGCACATTTTAATTGATATACTTTTATGCAATATGAATGTTTCACCACAAACTTAATAAAAAGTGTTTTTATCCTATGTACTTAAAATGCTTGAATATTATTTAAAACTACAAAACATGTTTGAAGTTTTCCAAAAAAATTAAATTATACTTGGAGGAAGAAACATTGTTTTTTATGTCAAAGGAAAACATCTGCCAACTTTAGTTTGACACTTTTTCATGTCCTGTTTACCAAACTAGAAACAAACACTGAATCATAATTAACTGATATAATTGGAAAGAAGTGCTACCCCAGGATGTCACCACTGCACAGTGGTGTACATTGATGGGAAAGTGCAAAAGAAGACTCCAGCCAGGAAGAAGTGGGTAGCATTTTAAGAAAGAAAGAAAGAAAGAAAGAAAGAAAGAAAGAAAGAAAGAAAGAAAGAAAGAAAGAAAGAAAGAAAGAAAGAAAGAAAGAAAGAAAAGAAAGAAAGAAAGAAAGAAAGAAAAGAAAGAAAGAAAGAAAGAAAGAAAGAAAGAAAGAAAGAAAAGAAAGAAAGAAAGAAAGAAAGAAAGAACAAAGAAGTAGCATTCATCAACATAAAACCCATTGAAATAACCCACTTCTTTTTTTAAATATTTATTTATTTATCTTTAAGTAATCTCTACATCCAACGTGGGGCTCAAACTTAGAATCCTAGAGATCAAGAGTTTTATGCTCCACCAACTAAGTCAGCCAGGTACCCCTGAAATGACCCATTTCTTGTTAGTTTTCTTACTGATTTCGTTTTCTCATATGCAAGAGGAAGTAATAATCCCCAAATCAAAGTAATTATGTCTGGGAAATCTGAAACTATATGCTGTCTGTTTTTTATAAACAATAAAGTCACATTAAAGTTCAGGACAAATAAACAATCAACGGAACTTGCTCTCTTTGAGTTTACTAGGTTAAACCTTCATGCAATTTTCGTCTCTGTAGACATTTTATGTACTACTACACAGTAGTCCTTTAGAGCAACAAGTCTGGACCTCTCCTCTGACAGTAAGTTGGCTTGTCTTGTCGATCTTTTAAAAATTAAGGGAAAAAATTACAGTCTCTATTTTATTCATTCATTATATCCTTCCTTCCTTCATTATCCTATGCATCATTGATTTTTTTTTTTTAAATCCATCTAGTGAATACTTTGTATGTTCAGCTCTGGGAATACAAAGTTAAAACACCATCCTCTGGGATCCCTGGGTGGCGCAGCGGTTTGGCGCCTGCCTTTGGCCCAGGGCGCAATCCTGGAGACCCGGGATCGAGTCCCACGTCGGGCTCCCGGTGCATGGAGCCTGCTTCTCCCTCTGCCTATGTCTCTGAGCCTCTCTCTCTCTCTGTGACTATCATAAAAAAATAAATAAATAAAACACCATCCTCAGAGGCAAAGATTTTGCAATCCAAAGGTAGTTAAGCAAGAAAAAGACAATGTAATACTTTGATACTAACCAAAGACTAAACGAGCCCAAAGAAGGGGTACCTAGTATAACTTGGAAGGCCAGGGAAGAATCCCTGGCAAAGGGACTGTCTGAACTAAATCCTGAAGGATGAAGGCAGTCCAGAGAGGGAGCAGTGTACAAAGTCATAGCAGTGAATGGAAAAAACACAACACATTTAGGGAACTGCTCATAGTTCAGTATGGTTGACATAGTTCTAAGTTAGGAATGGTGGAATGACAAAGCTAGGGAAAGATGAGCAGGGATCAAGTACTAAGGGATTTTGTCTGCCATACTAACTAATCTGGAATTCATCCTAATGATTATGGGTTTTAAGCAAGAAGATATGATCAGAGTTGGGGTTTAGAAAAATCTCCTGGGCAGCAGTGTGAAGAAATAAAACTAAGTAGGAAATGTGAAGGGACAGAACAATATTTAAGGCAGGAAAATTAGTAAAGA